ATTCTTTAGTAGGATGCTCTTTAGCCTCCATGTATTTGAGTTCTTTCCGACTTTCCTCTTGTGATTGAGTTCTAGTTTCCAAGCATTGTGGTCTGAAAATATGCAGGGAATAATCTGGGCTTGGGCTTTTCTTTGGGGGAGGTTTTTAAATTACTAATTCAGTCTCTTGTTTTAAGTCTATTCACATTTTCTATTTTTAAAAAAAAATTTATCTGAGACCGAGGGAGACGGTGCAGAGGCAGAGGGAGAGAATCGTCAAGTACACTCCTGGCTGAGTGTGGAGCCCAACGTGGGGCTTGATCTCACGGCCCATGAGATCATAATCTGAGCCGAAAACAAGAGTCAGACACAACCGACTGAGCTACCCAGGCGCCTCTCACATTTTCTATTTCTTGAGGCCATTTTGGTAGCTTGTATTGTTCTAGGAACTTGCCTTATGTCCTCTAAGTCATCAAAGTTGACATACAGTTATGCATGGTGTTCCTTTTTAATATTCTTATTTGTGTAAGTTCAGTAGTGTTATCCCATCTTATTTTTTTAGTAATTTTTCTCTTTTTCTTGGTTAATCTAGCTGAAGGTTTGCCAATTTTGTTCAACTTTTCAAAGAACTTTGATTTCATTGATATTCTCTATTGTTTTTCTATTCTGTATTCCATTAATTCCTGTTCCAACCTTTATTATGTCCTCCTTAGGTTCCATTTGCTCTTCTTTTTCCAGTATCTGAAGGTGGAAGATTAGGTTACTGATTTGAGATCTTTCTTTTTTCTTAATAAAGACCTGCATATTTCCCCCTAAGCACTGCTTTAACAGCCTCTCATAAGTTTCGTATGTCATTTATTTGTTTTTTCTCAAGATACTCTCTTATTTGCCTTGTGATTTCTGTCACCCATTGGTTTAATTTAGGAGTATGTTGTCTAATTTCCACGTTCGTGAATTTCACAAATTTTATTGTCACTGATAATCTCATTCCCTTGTGATTGACATCATACAAAGTATGTTCTCCAATTATTTCAAATTTGTTAAGGCTTCTTTCATTGCCTAACATCTGTCCTGGGGAATGTTCCATGTGCACTTGAAGAATGTGTTTTGCTCTTGTTGGGTCAGTGTTTTATAGAAGTCAGCCTGGTCTGGTTTATCATTCAGGGTACCCTTGTCCTTGTTGATCAGACTGTTAGAAACCTACTTGTTAATCCATTACTGAAAGTACTTTCTGGGAGATCGTAACATCAGAGCTTTGGATTTATGCCAGATGGTATGGTACAATTGGGATAGATCATGGCGTTTCTCAGGGTTTTGGTGTTTTGTCAGAAGGATGTCCATTGCATTGCTTGGGTTTGTTGTGAGGTGTAAAGTCATAGAGCCTTGGCTGTCGTGTGATCCTGTTTCAGCTCCGAGCCCCCAGTGAGCCTCAGCCCAGGCCAGAGGAAGTGGACCTGCCCCAGGCAGAGGTGCCTCAAGTGAAAGGAAACGTTCCCAGCAATGGTGAGCCCCAGACACCAGCCCCCAGTTCTGAGGCGGCTTTGGCTTTGAAGAGACAAGGTGAGAAAAGTAAGTGAAGCTTGGTAATTAAACATTTAAGCTCTCTCCAAAATAAACATTGTGGTGGTTTGTGTCCAACATCTTTGCACATGGCCTCACGACAGAGTATCCTTGTGGGAGGCAATTGGTGACCTGGGTTTGGGCTGCCAGAGGCAGGCGAAGGTCTCTCTGGGGACCTGGAATTGGGGCCCTAGGGCTTTCCTTGTCTTACTGTCATCCTTGTAAAGTGAGTGCCTTGTTCTTTGGCAACTGTGTAAAGGTCCGGGCTGTGCCTTACTGAGGACATCACTGGGACTGTGTGATAGGGGAGATGGTTGAGACCTGGGCAGCCGTCCCGGGAATGGGGGCTGCTGTGTCTCTGGGGAGTGAGTCCTTGGTAGACTGGCAGGCCCTGCACCCAAGTACTTGTCCAGACATACAGGAGGGTCAGATAACTTCAGCTGATAGGTTGTCACTGAAATCAGGAGAACTTGTCCAGACTTTTCCTAAACCACTTCTCTCTTATGGTTCTGAAGATGAGCTGCAGGTATAGAGAAGCCTGCAGTCTTTGCAGTCACAGAATAAGTTACCCAGTTGCTCCCCATCCAGCCCTTGGGGAGACTCTGAGAATTGAGTGGTATGGGGGGGGTTGTGTTTAATTTTTTTGATTTTTTTTTTTTTTTTAAAGATTTTATTTATTTGACACAGAGATCACACAAGCAGGGGGAGTGGCAGTCAGAGGCAGAGGGAGAAGCAGTCTCCCCATAGAGCAGGGGAAGCCTGATGCAGGACTCGATCCCAGGACCCCGGGATCATGACCCGAGCCGAAGGCAGTCGCTTAACCAACTGAGCCACCCAGGCACCCTGTTTTTGTTTTAAACTAAATGCTAGTGAGGTCACAGCTAACTGTGTTCTCTGTACAGAGGAAACCAACGAGATTCAGGTCGCCAGTGAGGAGCTTCCGAGGGACAGCCTGGGGCTGCCCCAGGAGCCACGCCGAGAGCAGGCTGTGGAGGAAGACAGACCCGTGGGTGGAAGAGGCATTGGAGAAGCTGAAGCAGTTGGCCAAACGCCACAGGTGCCAGGAGTGATGCTGGCGAGCCAAGAAAATCAGGACACGGAGGACCTGGAGCGGGACCAGCTTGTCATCCCCGATGGGCAGGAGGAGGAGCAGGGTGCTGATGAGGAAGGTGGGTGAGCTGCTCCAGTGAGCTGTCTGCTCATTCCTTTCCACTGCTCTTCGTCTGACACTGGAAGGGCCCCTGTGAAAGCCCGCTTGCGATTTGGTAGTTCTTCTGGTTTGTTGGGTCTCTTACCATGGAGGAGGCGGGAGGGAAGAGCAGTGTGCTCACCAGCAGTTGGATTTGTCAGAATTAATATTCACAGGGAGTCCGCAGTGTTTGGGGTTGGGGGGGCTTTCAGGCGCAAGGCCTTGAGGTGGGCGCTTAGCATCAAGTGAACGTAGCCCCCACACTGGACCCTGTGTCCTGCCTGTGTGACTGCATTCACACCCACACGTGGTGTCACCACCAGTGCCCAGTGAATGGAATTGGGTAGATGGGGTTTCATGCATATTTGAGCATGGCAGCAAAGTGACCTGTGAATCCTATCTGGTTTGGTGGACTTTTTTTTTTTTTTAAGATACAGGAAAGTGGGGAAACTGAGATCAACACGATATTCTGGGATGTATTTGGGTCCCTAAAAGCTGTGGAAGACGTCACTCCCAGCTGAGCCAGGAACACCTGTGAAGGGAAGATACCTGTGCTCTGGGAGGAGCCACTAACAAGAGTGGGGGGATGTGCCAATTTGTGGAAATCACCCTGTTTCTAGATCTCGTTTGCACTTGAGTTTCTCTTTCTGAAGACTGTGCTCTCACAAGGTTTCGGTTAAAGAATTAAAAAGAAGAAACTCTGGTGGCCAATCCAGTGGCACTCAGGTTTCAGACTGGCCACAGAGGGTAATATCTGAGGATTGGCTTGAGGTCCTGCAGGATACACGTCATCCTGGTGCAGCTGTCAAATAAAGCGGCAGGGCCCAAAGATGTGGGCTTTGCCTCCACTTCAGGCAGTGAGTGCAGGGGGATGTAACTAGAGCTAACTCTCCCAGACCCGCATTTTAAAAAATGATTTTGTTTACCTACCTGTATGTGTATATAAGACATTCACAGGAAAGCCTATGAATATAGTATGTCTCTTGAACGCCTTTTGTCCTGATCTTTTGTGGTGGTGGTTCTCTGCAGGGCTGAATGTGGTGATGCATGATCCCTAATTATGTAGGGATGATGGAAAATCCTTCGGCACCCAGTAGCCTCTCCATTTGCTTCCGTCGAGCCACAAGCCATTCCGAGGAGGTGCCGTCATTAACTAGAAAGCTGTTGTTTCCAGCAACAGCAGTGCCTTCCTTTAACCTCGAGTTGATGGTCTTTTAAAAAAAAAAAAAAAACACACCACCCAGGATTTGGGGTTAATTAGCTTGTTTCCCTAGTTCCAGGCCAGAATACAGCCCTGTGTCGAGGGCCACGGTTTCCATGGACTCCGTCGAAGCGGGGCTGCTAGGGAAGTGGAGAACTTGCACCTGCTGTTCGTACTGGCGCAGGCACGCAAGGGCCTGCCATTCTCCCAGAGGTCGCAAGAGGACCTGATTGTTGAGCCGTGACTGGGAGAAACCCCGGTTCCTGGGCTCTGGTGCCCCTGCGGCCTCCAGAGTCATGTGGGTTGTGCTCTCTGTGCCTGTGCTCACTTTACAGGAAGACACCAGCAAAAGCTGGGAGGAGAGGAGGACTACAACATGGATGAAAACGAGGCAGAATCGGAAACAGATAAGCAGGCAGCCCTTGCAGGGAACGACAGAAACCTGAACGGTAAGAGGTGTGCCGAGGCAGTGGGCCTGCCTTGAATTTCACATTGTGGTCCTTCATTCACTTTGGCAGTGACTAAACAATCCCAGCACTAATGTTGTAAATAATCCATCCAATCCAGAAGCCTTTGAACATGGGGCCATGGAGGGAGGGGAGGATTGAGAAGTCCAAGGTGAAGACCTTTCAGAAGGTCTGTGTGTTTAGGGGGCTCCGGCCCTCAGGTGTTGTCTTCATGACATCTAGGGATTTCCCATTTCTAGTATATGTGCTGCTGAAGCGAGCACGGGATTTCCCAACAGATGGCTAGGTCACCACTTGATCACTCTGTATCAGCAATCAAAAAGCCCTAACATCTGCACAGTACTTCCAAGCAGCTTCTTATAGTAGCATTTTGTATCATTTTGAATTTTGAAGGGTCTGGGCCAGTGGGATGTATCAGATTCTGGATTTGTCCATTTGCTTGTGATTGGATTCAGGTTGGCTGATATTTGCAGCTGCAGTGTGCTCTTCTTGCTTCCCACCAGGAGGCAGGCCCTGGCAGGTTGATGGCTTGGTTAAGGCACTGCCCACCGGGTCTCTCCATCACAAAGGGCCATTTTCCCTTTGTAACTGAGAAGTCATGTAGAAGGGGATGCTTTGAAATGGTGTGGCTTTAGCGTCCATTGAAAACCCTTGTCTGATGGTGACTTTTCTAATGCTGTCACCCTGCCACATATCCTCTTGTTGTAGTATCATGTGGTTTCATGGTTCCCTTTTTTAAAATTCATTTTTCTATCAGATTCTTAGTGTTTCCTTTCCTAGTTGTTAAGAGCTCTTTATATGCTAGGGAGATTGCCCTTTATCTGTGGTGTAAGTTGCAAATACTTCTTCCCAGTTTGTGTTTTGGTTTTATGTATGGTGTTTTTTGCCATGTGAATGTTTCAAAACTTTTATGTCTTGTCTTTTATTGCCTCTGGATATTGAGTCATAGCAAGTTTTCCCATCTAGTTTTGGAAGGAATTCATCTGTGTGTTTTAAGTACACTTTCACATTTTTCTTTTAGTTCTATTAAAAAGTTAAAACACAAATTCAGAAAAGCACACAAATGTCTTTAGAAGGTAAATACCTTGTAACTGTGTCCCCACCCACCTCAAGGACTAGAACCTTACCAGCCCTCCAGAGGCCGGTCTCTCCCCATAATAGCACCCCCTATCCTGACCTAATAGGCATTTTCTTGCATTTATTTATGGGCTTATCACTCAAGTGGGCATCCCTGGACACCAGTTTAGTTTTGCCCATTTTCTTAAAATTGATAGCTCTTTAAATGTCTCTTAGTCTACAGGTTTCCCCTCCATTCCTTTCCTCCATTTGCCCTAGAGTTTTCCAGTCCGTATAGTGCTGATTGTACATTCATAGTGCTGTTTAGTATGTTCTTCTTTCCTTTCTATTTCCCGAATATTGGCAGCTGATATCCAGAGGCTTGGTTCAGGTTTGGGCTCAAGCCCTTGGTAAAGTGGGAGGCAGTGGTGTGTTCTTTCATCAGGAGGCAAGGAACACCTTTCTTTTTGTGATATAAGTAGCAGTTGTTGTTCAGTACCTTCATTAATTCATTCATGGTATTCTAATTCAGCTTTTTCTATTCCATTGGTTAACTGGGATATTTTTATAAATAGGTAAGTCAGTAGTTTTAGTCCTATAATATAGGATAAAAATGCTTGATTCTTTTTATTTACCCATTTTCAAAACAATGAATTATTTCCCTGTCATCCTCTGAGGGTGATATTTAAAATACAAACTCAGTGGATTTAAACCTATTTGATGGGTTCCATTCAATTGTATTTATTACCGTTTTTGAAGTTCAGGTTGTCCCATCTTTGGCCAGTGGGACCTTCCCCACTTTAATCTGAACCTTCAGGTCTTTTGTCCCTTGTTCCTGTCCTGCTTAGCCACGGCTCTCCTCCACACTCAGCTGTTCTCCCCCCCCCACCCCCATGGGGCTCTACCCAGGAAGGAGCCCCAGAAAGGAGTTCTGGTAAATGCATTTCAGAAGTTCATGGGGCTCAGCCTCCCCTGGCCCCTCAATCCTTACCATAGCTACTTTGTGGTCACCTGCTGCGGGAGTAGCAGAAAGTCTCCTGCTTTCCAGTTGCAGTTTGTCCATGGGCCCACGTACTTTTGGGTGTAAATCTTTTGGTTGTTTGGGGTTATCCTCTTCTGTTCTCAGGTCCATCAGGTGCTCCATTGCTCCTGTTTTCTTTCTAGACAGTGTTAGCGTACAGGCACTGGCCATTGTCTTTGTCTCTGCTTGTATTTTGGGGTCTGCAGGATTCCTTGCCATCTACTCTTGTAAATGTCTGATTTGAGGTTTTCAGGGTAGTCACTTTATGTAGGGACCCTGAAATTCAAAAACTATGCCACTGTTGTCACCATTTTTCCAGGATCATCATTATGTTTTTATATTTTACATTTAGATCTCTAATTCGTAACTAATTTCAAATGTATTCAGGTAGTGTGGCACAAGGTTGGGTCCAATTTTCTTGTTCCTAAGGGCTAATTGGCCAAACACCAGCTCAAAGCCACTGATTTGAGGTGCCACCTTTACCATAGATTTCTGTATGTATTCAGGTCTACTTTTCAGACTTTTTGTGCCATTGATTTCTCTGCTGACTCACACTATACCACACTGTTCTAACAGCTCCGCCCCCCCGCCTTTTTTTTTTTTTTTAAATATCTGACAAGGCTACTTCTGGAAGATTTCAGTCAAGATATCTTTGAATAATGCTTCTTCCCATTTTGATTCCTTCTTAAACTCAGATCAGAAATGTTAGATCTTACCATTCTATTCGTGTCTCTTACCCTTTTTTTCCATATTACCCATTTCTGCTTCCCTAATCTACATTCAGAATGATTTCCTCAGACATAGCTTCCAGTTCACCAATTTTTCCTTCAGCTATGCCTTATCTGTTCTTTTTAATTTTTTTATTTCTAAACTTTATTCTTTGCTTATGTTTACAAACATCTTCTATTTCTTTAAATGTATCAGACTTTATCTTCCAGCTGCAGTATCTGAAAACCTTGTGGGTATTTCTTTTATCAGACTGTCCTTAGGATCCCTTCTTTCCTTGTGTTTTGTGCTTTTAACTGTGAGCTACAAGTTTCCTGGGAACTTTTATCTGTAGGAAGACTCGGGGGCCTGAGTTAGAGCAGTACTGCACTAGAGGTTGTTTGCCTCTATCAGTCTCAAGAAGGGCACTACAAAACCACCACCTCTTTAATAACGTAAATTCTCTTCAGATATTTTTTGGATCACACAGGAAATGTGAGTTCTAACTGTATACTTGCAATGTCATCTCATATAGTTGAGAAGTCCTCCTCCCCGGTCTAACCACTAGGGTTTCTTGCTGTCCCATTTTCACTGCAGACTTATTCTCCATTACCTTGAATCCAAGGACACAATCCTTTGGGAGTTTCAGCTCTATTTAGGAGTCCCCTTCTGGAGTGGAGCCCTCATCTTTGGAAGCTGTAAAGGGAGAAGGCCGGTATCTTCAGGCTTCAGAAGTCCTCAGGGCAGAGCTAGCTTTGATGTTTATTACCTTCAGGAGTTGGAACTTTTCACTCCACGTTTGGCCTCACAGATTCCTTCTTCTATTGCCATTACAGACAGTGCATTTTAGTGTCTTACTTTAAAATTTTTAACTTTTCAATTTGAAAATAATTGATTTTAATTTAAAATAGAATTTCCATATACCTCTCGCCCAGGTTCCCCAAATATTAATATCTTATATAACCATAGTACAGTTATTGAAATGACATTAGTATTGATAAAATGTTATTACTCAAATTTAGTGAACTGTCCAACTTAATATCCCTTTTCTGGTCCAATATATAATAATCCAGGATTATATACTGCATTTATTGTCACACCTCCCTAGGGTCCTTTAACCCAAAACCATCTGTTTTTATCTTATGACGTTGATAGTTTTTAAGTGTTCTGGCCAGAACACTTATTTGGTAGAAAGTCTCTCAGCTTGGGTTTGATTCAACAGTGTGTTCTTTAAAATATCTTTTCATATTTCATCTAGCATGTCAGTTATTACAGTTGGCAGAGTTGTCTGAGGTTTCTAGAAATAGTTCTAACTTGATTTTTAAATTATTTTCTTAGACTATACTTAAAACACGAACATATTATCAAGTCAGAATTTTAAACAAATACAAAGTCTCTTTTTCTGTTCCTGTCATCGAGTCCACTCATTTTTGTACCTCAGTCCTTGACTATTTGCTGGTATGGTTACTGTCTTAACATCTCTTTTACTGTCCTTTCAAATCAGTCTGGTATCCTAAATGTTTGGCTTTGCAGTAGAGCCCTGGGATCTTTCATCCCCTACACACAGGTGTCCCATGAATTTGACCTTGTACAAGGCTTCAAACAAAGGACGCAGGCAAAGAAAAATGCTAAGCTTTGTTTCAAGAATTGTCATCACCATCATTTTAACATTCTACCATTAAAATAGTTTAAGACCCTCCCTGCTTGCTCCAGGGAAATTAGAAGAAAAAGGCATTAGTTCCAACTTTATTAGAGAACTTTTTAAAAGACAATATTTAAGGCAGTCATTTAATTCATTTAATAAAATCATTAACCATTTAATGTGTTGTAGTTGTAAATCAGCATGGTGGTTTTAGGTTTTGTGAGGTCTTTGTATGTCCTTGTGTGTCAAAGGAGAGTAAGGATGATGGGAGCCACATACAGACTTCAGCTCTGTAAAGGAGAAGCTTTGGAGTAGTAAGAGCTGACTGAAGCTGCAGGTAGCTCTAGGGCATTGTGTTTCCTGTTGGAGGGATACCAACAGGGATGCATGGAGCACAGGAGAGTTGTGGTTGTATCACAAATCTTATATTTTATATTGTCCACTTTAGAGGACATGGGGCATTATTTCAGTATTTTAAATAGGAAGTTTTTATATGTTTTAGCTTTATTTCATGGCACCATGTTGGCCATACATATAGTTTCTTCACTGTCTTGTCCTTGATTAGGAATGCAATCCCCCATTATGTTGCTGAAGGAGATACTGTCCTCTTGAGGCAGTCTCTCGATACTTAGGTCAAATAGAACCTGCCTGGCTGGTTTCCCCTACATGTTTTAATGTTAGATTATGCTTTTTATTTTTTTTCTTTTTTAGTTCTTAATGCTGAAAATCAGAAAGACATAAATTTACTTGATCAGCGTGAAAAGAGGAATCACACACTCTGAATCAACTGGAATTACATACTTCATGTCAGGATTGAACAGAGATCACTACGAAGTATTTATGAGGGGTTGAATACTGTGAAATGTACTAAGGAAAATATACATCTAAAGATGATTATTGTGGAGTTTTAATATGTACTTTATGTAGGAAAATGATTGTGTTGTAGATGGTTTTTTCGAATTATTTATACTAAGGTATCAGAATTTGTCAGCTAATAGGTATGAGAAGATCAACATCAAAAACAGAACCCAAGTTCTCCAAGTATGGTGACAGTGGCGCTTAAAAAATTCTGGAATGTAACTTTGTTTAAAAAAAAAATCAAAGCCTGTAGAAGAGTCTGTCTTCTGACACCAAGAGACCCACCGCACCTGAGAATTCTTCTCTGGTCCCTTTGGTGTCCCGCTTCACATGCTGTGCTGAGTGGCTGGTACCAGCCCGATATTTCTGTTCTCACAGGTCAGTGCTGAACGATTCCTGGCTTATACTCTCATGTGCTCACTTCTGGTTCCGACAGTGGCCTGGAGTACAAAACTGTTAACACAAACATCACTAGCAACAGTTTTGAACAAGTCTATATACAGACATTTTGTGAGAATTTTTTAAAAAACTTATATAACCTTTGTCATTAATGTACAAAAATGCTTCTAAGTGACTTGTAATTTGAACATTTGTGATCTATTTTTACTTTGCTTAGTATGTGCGGGCAAAGCAAAATCTTCTGTATTAAGTCCCTATTACCAAGAGCCATGAGTGGATTAGACTTTTGACACAACAGGGGCCAAACAAGAGCTGACCCTGGGGCCTGTAGCAGAGCACTGTGGGGGCATGTTTGCTGTGGACTGCCCAGTGCACCATTACAGGAAAAGGAGAGGAAGTTGATGTTAAGAGTATATAGTGTTACACAGGGGGAAAGTTTAGAAAGGCAAGAGAAATTAACAGTTGTTTTTGCCATAGTCTGTACGTTTGGCTTATGGTAAATGACTATCAACAGTGATTTAAAAATCAATGTTAATTTGAAAAGGACTAATCATAATTCACCTTGAGTTGCTTCTCTGTATTTCCAGTAAGTAGGCTCTTGCCACTTACGAATGACTGGCAAAGTCACACTAATGACTCTCAGGTCTTAAGGGTAAGTGGGTAGTGATACTTACTCTTACAAGTCAGAGGATTTGAGATGCAGGAGCCTCAGATCACCTGGTATAACCCCTCAACTTGAGAGGAACTGGGGGTCCAGAGAAGTTAAAGAACTACGCAGGCCAGACAGCTGGTGAGCTGGATGCCTGGCCCCTCACCTGCTCTGGACTCATGGTGCCCCTGGCTGGCACTGAAGGCAGGACCTGGTATGCATTCAGGTTAAGATCTCCAATGTGAATGTTACTCGTGTAGGTACCTTTTTACTTAATTGCTAGGATTAAACTTTTCTACCTGGAAAAGGCAACTAAAGGGTGTTAAAAATAGCTTTGTAAGATTTTATCTAAGCCCTTGTCCAACTTCTCTTTGTGTCTTAGCCTTCGGGTTGATAATCTCTCTTGCCTTTTCAATAAAACATCTATTCATTCCATGTTTAATCAGTGTGCATAGAGTTCTAAGAAACAAGACTGTTACAGTTCAGCTGCTTTGTTTTCCTTTACTGCCCTATTGGACTCCTCAAGAATCAGCTTGCAAATTATAGATTAAGAATGGTTTGCCTTAACCCTTTTGTGGACTGAGATGGGATGTCAATATAAATAAAAAATGACCACACTGTTTCCATCTTCATGTAGAGGCACCAAAGGCCATTCGTTCGGGAGGTGTGTACTGTGAGTAATCTCTCCAGTCATGCTTTCTTACCACCGGCTTACCTTGACATCACATAGGCAACCATTTATAGTGGTGTCATGGCTTTTTTTTTTTTTTTAAAGCAAAACAAAAACCTGTGTAATACATAAGTAGATGGCAAACCCCCCACTTTGGTCTTATGGTTTCATCCAAAATTAGCAGCTATTCCAATTTTTAATAGGTGTGAACTATTTAATTTACACCTTCCTCTGTTTTCTCAAATGGTATGTAGACAGGAATGTGAAGACCCACCTTTTCTTCTGCAGATGGGACTGCAGATTCCCTGCACAATACTCAGATTTCTTGAGTAATGAAAGCACTGCACATACTTAATGTACTTTTGTGTGATGGAATTTGACAAATAAACCAATACCTGTTAAGTCAGTGTGCAGTCATTAAATAACTAGATCGGTTAACTGGCATGATTGTTTTAATTGGTAGTAGTTGGTTAGCTATTTTTAGCAAAACCCAGAGTGGTGTAAGACAAGTGTGAATTCAGGAGCCTTTAAGGTCCAAGGGCTCGGTCTACCCCAAGAGATTACTATAAATAATTGATAGTTTATAGAACACTCAACAACTTCTAATCCTTGTCTCTGAATTTTACAAAAAATACAAAAAGATTCCATGAATTGTAGGGTTTTTTCCCCACATTGTTAGCTTAGATTTTGAAAATGTTCGTTAGTGTCAGAGTTGGGGAAATAGTTTGTGTATTTAAATGTTTGTGTACGAAGCCACTCTCCCTTAAAAACTGGCTTATAAAATTCTGATGATAATGTATAGATTGAAGGATACTCAAAGTTGGTATCATCACATGCACTCTTGAAAAAGCTAAAGTAAAATGCTTCCATCCTTGTTGGTGTGCCTGTGAAACACATCTCTGGGAAAGTTAAAGGACTTGAAATATTTTCTTTAAATTTATGCATAAACTTCACGTAATATGTTTTATAAACCAAGGCCCTAGCCAGTTGAAACAAATGCTTGTTTTCCTATCTTTACTGCTTAGAATAAAATGATACCATCTAATGTAGAATAAAAACCCACGGCAGCATGAGCCAGGAAGAGGAATGGGCAGCAAAGGAAGGGTAGGGCCTCTGGTGCTGGGCACTTACAGGGTACAGGTGGATTTAAGTCTGTTTTTGAAGGCAGCAGATACTGGAAAGATCCCCACTTGAAAACACTGCGTGGGTTAAAATGAATATTTAGCAGTGAACAAAAACTATGCCACACTGAAACCTAACCCTAAAAATTAACAATCTATGCATTCCTACCTCTTGAATAATGTCACTAGCAAACATTTTGCATGTTTTAAAGGTGCCAAAAGGAACAGTTAAAGGATGGTTTTTAAAAAACCTCTATATTCTTACAGGTATATAATTTAAGACATCATGACACACAAAATCACAATCCCCATGTAATTTAGTCTCCCTAGATAGTTTAGAGGTTCCCCCCACCCCACATATTCCCTTTTAAATGTATTTTACCAAAACCCCATCCAAATGTTTGATCGTTTTTGAAACTTTTGAATCTGTTTGAACTATTCAAGAGTAAACACCTTCAGTCCTTAACATGCATCAACAAAGTGCTGTTGTTTTTCATTTCCAGTAGTGCATTTTTTGTCAAGAAATTTATTAACCTTTACAAACACTATTTTCACTCATTCATAAAAAAATGATTTATGATTAAATCTGTAATAAAACCATATAACATTCATCACTGCATCAAGCCCAGTTTCATCCATGGAACATAACAAACCACTTTAAAACAGCAGTTTTCATTCACGTCGTATAAGGCTGTCAAATTAAAAGTATTTCTTATAATAGGCTGTTATCCAAGAAATCCATTTCACTTCGTGTTATGTGCTGAGACTGACAGATGGATCCCCTTAGAATCTGAAAGTAGATTCTGCCCCTTGATGTCCCCCCTTTCAGTGTCTTTCAAACAAGTTTCACAACAGGAAAGTATTTGTGAGCAGAGAAATCAAATTCAGGAGGAACCTGTAAAGAAAGGCAGAAAGTAAACAAATGTATCTACAAATATTCAGACAGTACAGTATTTTAGTTTCTCGCAATTTTGGAGGTAAGGCAGCACAAGAGAGGAAAAAAAAAACCTGGTTTAATGACAAAGACAACAGGAACTAACCTGGAGGGAAAACAACAAACTTATCTCTGGGTTTATGAAAGAGAACAGTTAACAAAGGCAAATGGACTTAAATCACAGGGAAGGGTGGTGGGTCAGCACACTTTTTAGTTCCTGGGTCATGGATAGTACTAAGCAATGAAACCGTGTCTAGTAAAGCACGGCAGAAGATGAGGAAGGCAGATAGCAAGCCGCGATGGGAGTCGACAGACAGAGGTACATGTAGTGTGCCAATGCTCAGCAGGCACATGTTGATAACAACATCAGTAAGGGAAGCTGAGAGAATTTATCATCTCTCAAGCCATTAAACAAAGACTTCAATTACTGAAGCATTCACTTTTCTAAAGGCAGACGACTTTTTAAATATCTCTCCCATAATAAATTTGTTTTCACACATTTTCTGTTTTACTCTTTTACTCATTCACAGTAATTTACACAAGGGAGGGAGGGGAATGGGAGGGAGGGGAATGGAAGGGCAGACTTTAGAAATTTTAAGTCAATAAATCTCAAGTTTCAAAGCAAAATGGCAAGCTCTAGTTACTTTCTGCCACTGAACCTCTTATTTTTTATTTTCTTTTAAGATTTTATTTATTTGACAGAGAGAGAGGTAGAGAAAGAGAGGGCACAAGCAGCAGGAGCGGCAGAGGCAGAGAGGGAGAAGCAGGCTTCCCGCCGAGCAGGGAGCCCGATGCGGGGCTTGATCCCAGGATCATGACCTGAGCCCAAGGCAGCTGCTTAACTGACCCAGCCACCCAGGCGCCCCTGAACCTCTTTTAAAGGGATGATTTTTGAATGTTTTACCTTTTTGTAATATTTGTGCATCTTATTTTTTAAAAAGTTCTACAATAATTTAACACCCATTTACTTTCCCCACAATGCGCTTACCTTAGATTCCTTTTTGTGTCCTCCTGCCAGTAACTTCATGACCACAAAGTTGGGTTTGGCAACCTTTAAAATTCTATTGACCTAAACAATGAGCAACATTAAGCTATCAAAACATAAAATTCAGAGTCAAAATGTCTTTATAAGATAGGAACTTCACATAAGGTAAATGTTGATTTTTTTTTTTTTTAAGATTTTATTTGACAGACAGCAAGGGAGGAACACAAGCAGGGGGAGTGGGAGAGGGAGAGGCAGGCTTCCTGCCGAGCAGGGAGCCAGATGCGGGGCTCAATCCCAGGGCCCTGGGACCATGACCTGAGCCGAAGGCAGACACTTAACGACTGAGCCACCCAGGCACCCGATATTTTATTAAATAAAGGCAACTTAACAACACGAACAGACATACTTTTCCGTGACCACAGAGCTCTACTTTGGTCAGCCGGGCCGCCCTGGAGGGGCCCCTGGGTCTCGCTCTCACTAAGCCTGAAGAGTGTCCGGCTGCAAAGACAGCAGCAGAGCACTTGGGGTGCAGACTACGCAGCTAGAGTGCTTGCACTTCAGGTACTCGTCATGAAACCTCTGGCAAGTTCTCTAGGATCTCTGTTCCCCAGCTGCTTCATCTGTAAGCGTGGGGACATTAACTTGACTCCCATGCCCGCACAGACCTGCTAAGAGGATTACTAAGTGAGCTAATCCATACTACGAGCTGAGAACCACGCCTGGCGGGTAGGAGGTGTCCTGTGTTTACTGTCACTCCTGACTACGCTTGGCCGAAAAGTTTCACCTGAACAAATGAACAGCAGAGGACTGGAATGCTGCATTCCTCCTAAGAGGGAGTAATGTGCAACCTGAAGAAAAAAGCTCCCACTACTCCTCGTTGCTGACTGACCTCTCTCCAGAAACACACCTCAACACAGGTTTGGAACAGCTTCTCCTCAGCCCCAGATAACACATCCGCCTATCCGGATGACAACTCCGTCTAGGCCTCCAACAGGCACGTCCCAACCTGAGCTCCTGACTTCTCGGTCCAGTCTCCCACCTGCCCCTGCTCCACCTGCAGCCCTCTCCACTGGTTCCATCCACCCAGGGGCTCAGGCCCAAACCCTGAAAGTCCTCCTTAACTCCTCTTTTCCTCACCCACATCCAGTCCATCTTGCTTCAGATCACCTCCATGGTCCACACCATCTCTCACCAGATCACTGCTGTGGGTACCTGCTCCTACCTTTGCCCCTACCACAGTCTATTTTCAGCACCAGGGCCAGAGTGAACCTTTACAACAAAAATCCAATCTGGTCACTCCTCTGCTCAAAAACCTCCCAGTGGCTCACCTTGTTCATCGTACTCCAGCCACATCAGTCTGTGCCCTTGGGGTCTTTACATGTGCAGATCCCTCTGCCCATAGGGTTCCATCCCCAGTGGCCATGCAACTTGCTTTTTCACCTTCTTCAGAGATTTGCTCACAGACCACCTTAACTTAAAAATGCCTAATCCTCCGCTACCTCGCTACTCATAGTATTCACTATCCCCATTCCCAGCTTGATTTTTCATAGTCCTTATGACCTTCTAATATACTAGGTAATTTATTTACTGTCTGCAACCTCCACCACCCTCAGGAGGGCTGAGATTTGTCTAGTTTTCTTCATTAGTTTTTACCACAGGGCTGGGGACATATTAGGCACTCAACAAGTATTTGTTGAGTAAACAAATTAAGTTCATGGAAAGAAATATACCATCTATTATAGGTACCTTCCTCTAGTTTTTACATTCCCCCTTGTATTTTCTTTTATTACATGATTATATAGAACAAAAAGTCATCTCTCTCCTATCCCTGTTTCCCAAGGCACTAGGCTCCCCTCCCAGGAAGCAAACACTGTTATCAATTCTTACATAATTCTTACATCTCTTTCTGAAGATATATTATACTCCTATAGTATTTGCACACATACTGAGTTCCTGGGCCCCTTCTGATTGAAATGGCAGCATACTCATCGCAGTTTAGTACTTTGCTCTTTAAACTTCTTATATCCTGAAGAACATTCCATTACAGTATTTAACAACCGTCCTTTTCAAGACTACACAGTATTATATGATGTATCATCACTCATTTGACAGTCTCTGTTGAGGGACAGTGAAGTTTCCTTCTTTGCTATGAGAATCCTGCTGCAATGAGGACTCCTGCGTAAACCACTTGCTTCCCTCACTGCCCACACGTGCACGTGTTAGATAAATCCCAAGCAGCAGCACTGCTTGGCCTAAGCATCTGTGCTTTTTTAACAGTTACTGCTATTAAATTCCCTTTCATGGAGGTTGTACCAAGATATACTCCCCAAAACAGTCTGAGTGTTACAGGCAAAGCACTCTC